TTGGGCCCCATATTGTTTCTAAAATGTCATTTAGTTTGCATGAGCATGACAAATTTAAGATTTTCTTAATATTGTGAAAAATGACATTTAAAGCAAATGTTAGCCAAGTTTGTTGTAATGTCAGCTGTTGTTAGCTTACAACTTACTTTACTATTTCATTTCTTCCACCCCTTCTTTTTTTATTATTTTTCTTGTCCACATCTATTTTATGAGAAAGAATACTTGGTTTTAACAAGTTTATTGAAAATACTGCGCAAATTCTCCTATTGTATTAGTAAGAAAAGGTTTCGTTGAGGTGACAATGCTGAACCAAGTGATGATAACATTGCAAAATTATGAGCATCTACTTTATTGGAAATGGCCAAAGGAAAAACAGTTTGCCAACAAATATCATTTTGTATTGCTTAGAGTTTAACAGGAAAATTGTATTTCAGGAAGGTATGGTGTCACTTTTGCAACTTGGTATAGAGGGGAGAGACTATTCACTGTTTCAGGTGCACGACATTTTGTGGAATCATAGCATTATAGAAGAAAAGAAAATATTACTTTACAGTTGACACTTACCCAAATCACTGCCTGCTTGGGGTGGTCCTTCAGGTCTTGTATAAACAGTAAACATTATCTAATTGTCAATTTGAAAAAAAGGTATTCTGTTTGAATTAATGGTAAAGGAAAACAGTTAGCCAACCTAACACAACTTCACTGCACAGAGTTTAGCAGTGAAATTGTGTTTCAAGGAGGCTGTGATGTCACTTTTCCAATATCTTAAAGAGAGGGTAAACATACTGGTAATTATTTACAGATGCATGACATTTTGTGGAATCATAGCGTTAATGGCTATAAAGAATATATAATTTTTCAGTTGGCACTTAACCAAATCTCCAGTTGAAGGAGGTGGTCTTTAGGGTACATGCAAATCTTCGCCATCTGCAATATCAACAGGAAACTCATGTAGTTGTCAGTGTTTAAAAAAAGGTATTTTATTGAAACATCAAGGAACAGATGTGTTGTGAAAACATTTTTTCTAAACTGATCATGTAAATTATATTTTTGTCTTGTGGTTGCAAAGTAATTATTTATTGAATAGTATATTATTTATGATGCATATGTAATTTTACAAACGTTTAAATCTTAATCAAGTTTTACAGTTCTGGTTTAAGTAAGTTAACATTCTGTTGTAAAACTAGCACTCACCTTCTTGGTTTAAATGTAGACCATATTTGAGAATAAATTGAAATTTTCCCACTTTTATTGTGTAAACAAGTTTTTTAGTAGCCTGTGGTTATAAAAATCTTAATAAAGTAATTCTGAGTAAGTTGTTAAGTGTCTTGTCAAAGATTATTCAAGAGTATGTGTGAGTATTCATTTGAAATGGAAGTTTTAAGACTTGAATTAATCTTTCAAGAATTATTTGTTGCAAAGTAAATTGATAAGTGTTGAAAAAATATCCTCACTGGGCATTTCTTTTTCTCTTGACCTCTGAAAGAACAAATGCCATAATTTTCACAATTGTTTATTCCAATTTTATTACATAACTATCCAACAGTGGAGGCCAAATAACAACACAAATTGATCCCCTTGCTATTATTATGTCTTGTATCAATATGCTTTCTTTTTAGAAAGTGTAACATAACATTCCTTGACCTTTTCTGATGTCCATAACTTTTTGTCTGACATTAACAGTAATTGAGTGTAAGAAATTGAAATTTGTCTGTTTTCTTCCAAGCTGGGAAAGGAAAGATATCAAAGTTGTTTCATAATTTAACGATATTCACAAAGGTGACTTACTTAACTCTGTTTTATTTGGCAAGGATTAGTAAGTGCTAGTTACATGTAAGTCTTTACACCTTAATATCAGTATGCATATTCTCCATACTGTTCTCCATACATTTCTAAAGAGGCTGACAAGGAGAATTTGTTTAACAGTCAAGAGCTGCTCTAGTTGGTGATCATCTGTTCTATTCTCATGACTTTCATGTTTGACTCAGGAGTGATCATTATAGTAAGGAGAGATTAGATGCTGGTCACTCTTAGGGGCCAAAGGATTAATGAGGGGAGGCTTCCTGCACAAAGGTACACTGCACTATTGTTTTATCCTGCTATGTCTTACTCATAAATGAAAGAAAATAAATCAATCCTTATCATGAACAATTCATAACACTTTTATGCCAACTATCTCATGAGGTGTAAGGCAGTCTTTTCATTGCCAGATTGTTGGAAATATGACAATCAATTTAAATGAAATAATCTTGGAAGTAACTCTCCTTAAAATTAAGGCTTTACCTCCCACAGCACCACTTGTTTTATTTTATTGAAAGAAATGAAAAAAGGTAACATTGATATATGTTACCTTTCATCTGCTGTCAGAAAGTCTCTGGCTCTAAGAACGGTAATCAGGTGGTACTCAGGCTCTGTCAGGCTCCAAATTTTTGTACACTAGTAGTTCTGATTCTCCAAAATCTTGAGGGTTATTCCAGTCCACAGAAACAAACAATGCTTGCTCTGTTTGAGCTTCTTGATATTGGCAATAGTTAAGCATGGCTTTAAAAAGACAACTTGACAATGATTTTTGTTTGAGCATTAAAACAATCTTAAGCATATTCTCAGCACTACTAAAGAAAAAAAACTGTAAGGTTGTCAGTTGAGTGATCAGTTAGCCCTCTGATCCTGGGAGTGAAAAGGCCACACCATGATTTAATGTAGTTAGCTATTAAGGTGACCAGCTGAGACAAATTTGAACATGGTAATCTTTTTCTTGTCATGGACAGCACAATTTACAATTTTGATTGAGCCTTAATAAATCTAATATCAATAAGGTTTAACAGCAAGACCTTTGTTTTGGTTTTGGTTTGAAAATGTTAAATGAAAAATAGAAACAAAAACAAAAATACACACTTTGAGGTTGGAGAGCATCACAGTCCCAATTAATTTATTACTTTGAATCTTTTTGTGTATTTTATTTTCAGTAATCACAGTAAGGGCAAAAGAGTGCCCAATGCCAAAATTTCGACGCGGCAGAAGACAATTCTTGAACAGATTAGGTTACTTTCTGAAGCAAAGTGCAGCAGCAAACACAGTTACTGCTGTAGATATTTCACCTCTAATTCTTAAAGGGCTGGCAGAAGAATAAAATCTATGTTTGTTGAGTTCTAGACATCTCTTTTCAGGTTACACTCTGAGCATCCCTTTGAATGGATCTCCTTGGGTCTAACACAAATATTACAGCAGATCACACTGCCATAATGCTCTAACAGCTGATATGCAGCTGATCTCTGGTGACACTTTCACACCTTTATTACACTGTGATCAGCTGTCATCACAGATATATCTGACTTGCCCATCCATTTTTGCTGATCATTTGACTTTTTCTCTTTTTGTCTTTTTAATTCGTGCACAAACATAATAAAAAATATCTGAAGACGAATTTTTTCCTGAAGAATTCATTTCAAGCAGCCACCACATATGATCACTATTTTACCAAGAGAAAAAACCTTTGCCAATCAGGAGTATTATGTTTGCTCAATTAGAAATAAATTAACAAACCAAACCTCACATGCCTTCGATATTACTCTTTCATCTAGGTTTCAAATAACTTGCCCATAAAGTAATTTGTCAGGGATATAATTAATAAGAGCAGTGCTCAGAAAAAGAATTGTAGGGATACCCTTTCTTGAAAACACTTTTTGATTATTTTGGTTTTTGTTTTTCTTCATCCAATCCAAAGCACTTCAGGGAATTAAACTTCAAACATCTAACAACTCTTCACCAAAGTGGAGGTGGCTAGTGGTTGATATTTATTCCTGCAACAATTACAATATGTTCGTGGGCAAATCCAGTGCAAGTTGCTTGGAGGTAGATAGCAAAGGCTGTACGGCATTTGAGTAGCCAATCAGAGGGTGCATACGGTAAATATCCTCCACTAGCCATCGACACCCACCTGATTCAACGTTTATTGGCACCGAACGTCCTTTTGGGAAACATATATGGCTAACTGTTAAGAAGCCTTTTGGTTGGGGACTATCTGAACTACCAAACAACGTAAACTGCAACTGTAAACTCACACTTGTTTAATGGCTTGGATTGTAATACAACTTGTTAGGCTTAACTTGACAACTCAACTGTTCAGCTGATAACTGCTCCACTGCCTACGAGAATGTTGCTCACGTTCTTTTAAGGTGACCAAGCTAGAACTGACAGGAGATTGGAAGTCGGTCATGAAACTATCACCCGTTATTAATTTATGCTTACGTAGTGCTTTGCACAGTAGGTTGTAACCAAACTGCGCTTGTTCAAAGAGATGATCCGCATAAAGACCTAACATCAAATAAACATCGTCAAAATCTTTTTCATGTTAAAAGGTTCGCTGTCCTTCGCGGGTCTCCAGGCCAAAATAAACGAACGTGAGCATTATAAACATTACTAGGTACAACTTTAAGGAAATTCATGTAACTGTAACATTGATATGTTTACAGAAACACTGTTTAAAGGTAGTTGCGTAACAATAATTTACAACAAGAGTAAACAGTTCGTATTTGGAGAAGGGCCAACTGATGTTAATGCCTACTTTCCATGAATTAACAGGAAACTAGCAAGTGATTCCAGTCACACTGATGGAATAACATTTTACAAGCTGTAAAACAATAGCCACAATTATTATTAGCTGTAAACATTGGTTTGGCATGGCTTGGGTTAAAGTAGCAAAAAAAAAACACAAAACTTCAGATCATGGTACTAAATCAGTGATTATAAAAATTCCAGGAAGTAATAGCCTGTGAAAGACTGGTATTAGGTCAAATGAGTGAATATCAAAAATAATGACTCTGCTTCTTAATTAAAAGTACCTCCAAAAAGGGAAGATTGTACTTTAAAAACAAATCAGTTCTAGCATATGCATATGAATTTGAAGTAGGTCATTTCCGTGTACCCTAAAACCATACCAAAAACAAATCTCTAAACTACTCCAATTCAATAATTCTCAGCGTTTATACTTAAAAGCCAATGCTGAAGTCGAAGCACTTCCTTTAATAAAATAGTTACTTGCATTCTAAAATAAACATGAGCAATCATTCAACTACTTGTTTGATATCAACAGTCAACTTATACAACACCTGCCGATGAAAACAGTATACAGGAATATTCTAAGTAAGCTATAACAACCTAAAAATCAAAATACCAATCCAATTAATATTTAATAAGTTGAAATTAGTTCAGTGGATCCCGTAATCTTAATCTTTAACACTATATAAAGTTTGGCTCCCCATCCTCGCATCTGATTCTGCTGAGTTGCAACCTCTGTGCGGAGGGAGAAGCTTTCGATGTTATCATTTCTGACTGAAAAATGTAAACTAATTTTTTCCTGCCCTGATTTAGGACTGGTCTCTTTATTTATTAAACAGGACACTAAAGCTAACCACGCTCAGGGCCTACAGTGGCTTCACAGATTTCCTTACTAAAAACGTAAGGGTGCTAGGCCCTCCGCTGCCTGTGTAGTGTCCACATTTTTGAAACCTAAACTCTTACTTGTTATTAAATTCAAAACCAATATATTTGTACGGTTAAATCATGTGTATGTATGCTATCAAGTTGATTATCAAATTTGATAAGTTACAACATATAAAATCAAACCAATGACTATGGTTTGTTACGATTTGTCAAAGAGCAAGCGGATCAAAAAAAAAAATTCTGTCAACTAACATTCATCTTTCGCTATGCAAATAGAGCCAGATTATTTCCAAACTCCTAAATTTGATAAGTTACAACATATTAAATCCAACCAGTGACTATGGTTTGTTACGATTTGTCAAACATGAGCAGATAAAAAAATTTTTCCTAGTAACATTGATCTTTTGCTATGCAGAGAGCCAGATCATTTCCAAACTCCTAAATTTTGATTTATTTCATGCTATTTGAAATACAGAATGGTACCGGCCATGGCACTGAAAGGGTTTATCACATCAAGATCCATTCCCATGTTAATCTTAACTGACGGACAATGACAGTTGTAGTTTTCATTTATCATCTTCGGGCAGCGACCATCTATGGGTAGAAAAAGAACAACACCATTGGAAACTTCTTGTATTTTGAAAAATAAAGGAAATCACCATGCAGTTTGTTTTGTTTCGATTGTTTTTTCGTTGGCTGGAGTACATTTTGTACTGCTTATACAGTGGCTAGAAAACTCAACAATTTCTATCCAATTTGGGTGGGTTGGGAAGAGAGTCTTATTGCAATAGAGAATGCAGATGAATGAAGTGAGTAAAATTTGACGTCAAGACTAAGCACTTTAAGAGTATTAAGAGCATTAAAGGAAAATATCAAAACAAGTTATATTTACATTCAGCGGCGACTAGACTGAATCAGTTCCATTTAGCTCCAGAGTGACATCATCCCCAATGAGAACAAATGGTGCCCAGTACTTTACTTCCCCGAACTCTTCAGACTCTCTCATACATTTCATGGCTTGGTTAAGAGCTTCACTGACCCTCCTTCCTTTAACTAGTTCTTTATAGAAATGTTTCATGAACCGGAAAGTGGCTTCGTCATCAATTCCCCAGAGGGACACCAAAACGGACCGAGCCCCAGCACCTAAAAATGCTCGAGAAATACCAACCACTCCCTCAGCCTTTATTTCTCCATGAGCACTATGACAGCAACTCAACACAACCAACCTTGCCCGCAGCTTAGCTTCCAATACATCCGCCATCGTCAACAAAAAGTCTTTCTCCTCAGAATGATGGGATTCCTCAGCAGGGTTTGGGGCCAAAATAATTTCTCCTGTATCCATTTTGCCATGTGCGGCGATGTGCACCAAAGCAACCCTGGATAGTCGCTTTAAGACTTCTCCTTTAGTCGCCATTTTTCCAATGAGGGGAGCCGTTCCTAGGATTCTTCCAATCATCTCTACTTCTTTCTTTGCATATGGCAGCTCACACAACTTTCTCCCTTTATAGAGAACTTCCTCTAGGTACGGATCTCCCACGAGAAGGGCGCCTGTCTTATTGTGGAAGTCAGCTGGAGAATCGGTAATTAATTTCAAAGTGGTCAAGGACGGAATCAATCTGATCTTTAGAGACTCACACAGATACTCCTGTTTTGGGTTCATCAGTGCTGCATAGGGTACCAAACATAATGGACCTTCTGGAACGAGAACGAGGTCATTTCCATGAACCAGGTCAGCAACAGGAGCAATGATAAGGTCAAAAAAGCTCTTTAAGCTTTCCTGTGGTGAAAGAGGCCGAGAAATATTGACAGGGGCCCTGTCAGTCCTGCACCCCACCTCACGTGACTCATCAAGTGAGCGATTTTCGATTTTAACGCCAGCACGTACACCAATTTCGTCCAAGGTGGTATGGTGTAGAGTCGAAAGGAAGGTTCTCACGTCTTCTTCGGAAACATAGTCTCTTACCTCTCTTCTCCTCAAGGTGACTTCTTCATCTTTCCTTATGACCCAGAAAATTATTTCTTGTTTATTGAGAGCTATGAAAACTGTTGTCGAATGAATGGATCTAAGAGAGGAACCAGTCGACTTCTCTGAGGAATGAGACCAAGAGTATACGTCTTGACACCCATAATTTTCTTCCATGAGATCTTTTAGAGCCTGCGCCCTTCCATCCTCAGCAACACGCAAGGCATCATTAACTTCACCTTGGTTTAAATGGAGACACCACAAACTATTGTATATATTGTTATACGTATCGCGGTAGCTAATTTTCCACTCGTCATTAAACTGGAGATGAGCCCTTATTTCATTCAACTTTGACAAACTGGAACTAAAGTAGTCACGGGCTTTCAAAAATGAACCTCGATCTTTAGAGATGTGGTTAAGCATAAAATAGGCATTGCCAAGATTTCCATAAGCCTGTCCTTCTCCATCTTTATCCCCCACTTCTTTTGCAATTTGTAGACGATGCTCATGATACTTGATTGCCTTATGAAAATCGCATAACTTCTGATAGGCATTGCCAAGATTTCCATACGCCCGTCCTTCTCCAGCTTTATCCCCCACCTCTTTTGCAATTTGTAGACGCAGCTCATGGTACTGGATTGCCTTACGAAAATCGCCTAAGCTCTGATAGGCATTACCAAGATTTCCATAAGCTCGCCCTTCTCCAGCCTTGTCCCCCACCTCTTTCGCAATATGCAGACGATGCTCATGATACTCGATTGCCCTGTGAAAATCGCCTAAACTCTCATAGGCATTGCCAAGATTTCCATATGTCCCTCCTTCTCCAGCTTTGTCCCCTACTTCTTTTGCAATTTGTAGGTCACGCTCACAGTACTCAATTGCCTTATGAAAATTGCCTAAGCTTTGATAGGCATTGCTAAGATTACAATAAGCCTTTCCTTCTCCCGCTTTGTCCCCCACTTCTTTAGCAATTTGTAGGTGATGCTCATGATATGCGACTGCCTCATGAAAATCACTCAGGCACTGATAGGCATTGCCAAGACCTCCATAAGCCTGTCCTTCTCCAACTTTATCACCCTCTTCTTTTGCAATTTGTAGATGACACTCATGGTACTCGATTGCCTTATAAAAATCGCCTAAGCTCTGATAGGCATTGCCAAGATTTCCATAAGCCCGTCCTTCTCCAGCTTTATCCCCCACCTCTTTTGCAATTTGTAGACGACGCTCATGGTACTTGATTGCCTTATGAAAATCGCCTAAGCTCTTATAGGCATTGCCAAGATTTCCATAGACCTTTCCTTCTCTAGCTTTATCGCCCACCTCTTTTGTAATTTGTAGTTGACGCCCATGGTAATGGATGGCTTTATGAAAATCGCCTAAGCTCTGATAGGCATTGCCAAGATTTCCATAAGCTCCTCCTTCTTCATCTTTGTCCCCCACTTCTTTTGCAATTTGTAGATGACGCTCATGGTAGTCTATTGCCTTACGAAAATTGCCTAAGTTATCATAGGCAATGCCAAGACTTCCATAAGCCCCTCCTTCTCCCGCTTTGTCTCCCACTTCTTTTGCAATTTGTAGACAATACTCATGGTACTCGATTGCCTTATGAAAATCGCCTAAGATTAGATAGGCAGTGCCAAGAATGCCATAAGCCTCTTCTTCTCCAGCTTTATCCCCCAATCCTTTTGCAATTTGCAGGTGATGCTCATGGTACTTAATGACCTCACGAAAGTTGCCTGAGCTCTGATAGGCGTTGCCAAGGTTATTAAAAGTCTCTCCCTCTCCAGCTTTGTTGTTGGGTCTCAACTTTTCGGTATTTTGCAAATTTTCACCTACCCTCCAATATGAAAGAAAAAAAAAGCAGTTTTTGTGAGAAAAAAAATAGAGATAATCCAGCGATCATAAAAGCACAAAAAGTTCCCTTCTTCATTCAAAATAAAGATCCTCATTTGCATTCACCTTTCTACCTTTAGGCTTATTCAAAATATCCGTACAATTCAATGTAAATAATGTTTTTATTAAACAAATGGCTTATTTGATTGGAGACTTGAGAAATGTGTACATAGCTTGATAGATTACATTGAACTTGACCCTGGATGAGTTTTATTGCAAATGCTTTCCCGGTCCTTACCCACAGCTTATCCCTAAACTATGAAAAAAAAGACCAAAAAACAAAAAACAAGTAATCTTTTGGGATATCCTTCTCTTCAAGCTGTCTTAAGGCTGGTTTCCACTAGCGACGGAGTCGGAGTTGTAGTTGGAGTCGTAAGGGCACTTCCGACTGGGTGAAAACTAAAAATCAGAGTCATGAGCGGAGTCATAAGCTCAACGGCCGGAAGAATCAGAACAGCTTCATTTTCTTCTGATTGTGCTTTGGAATCCGATGCTTACGATCAGTGAAAAACTTCATTGAAGGCAGAAGCGGAAGATCAAACCAGCTGGATTTCAACTTGATTGCATTAATCTACACTTCTCAATAACGACTCCGACTCCGTTGTAAATGAAAACCAGCCTTTAGGTTATGCCTTATTATCGGCCGTTGAGCTTTCTACATAAGAAATTGATATTGAAGTGAAGAAATTATGTTAAACTCGCCCGTCATAGTTTGAGGATCAGTAACAAATGCTGTTACAAATAACAAATGCTGTGTTTCCCCCTCCTTCTACACTCCACAGAGCACCATAACCTAAACAAACATATCCTAACATAGGTCTTAATAGACCCGAGGGCCGTAAAGAGGTTTAAATGAAAAATTCATCCGGCTAATGGCCTTAAGATTTCTACACCTCTTGTTTTTCAATTTCGCAAACTCGGAAATTACAGATTTACAGATTTTGAGTTCATTTCACCAATTACAGATTTCAATTCAACACCTTTCTATATTTTGCGTAGCAAAATAAACTTCTTTTAAGCAACCTTCTTTTGAATAAACTTCCTTTAAACCGGGCTTAACCGAATGTAAATTAGAAACAGAGAACTTAAAAACTAAATTTTTCATAGGATTAAATTTGTGCTACATTTTAAGTCAACAAACATTGGTTTAAGCAGCTCCTGTGTGGCTACCGTTTCATTTCCGTTTTAACATTACTTCCGGTTTTACACACCGTTGCGTGTCACGTGTCAGTCTCTTGGGGATTGCACATGCTTTGACATTTTAGAGAGAGTTTTACCTTCGTGTAGCTGTTTTGGCTCGCAAAACAGTTCTTTGACGTTACTATGATCGTGAATGTAATGTGATCGTTATTGCGACTTCCCTTTTTTGTACGTTATCTTGTAACGCTACATACAGATTAAAAGCGAAAGCTAGATTCTATAAAGGAAAATAGTTCAAACTGTGTTTGACAAAACATCTTTGAAACATGTTTAAGTTTTGTTCTCAATGGGTTATAAACCTGATACTGACCAATGATGCATCACTTTAAGGAAAATAAAGTGAAAGTATCCACCTAAAGATGGCAGACTAACCAGCAGTTTTTTTCCGGTTAGGCTCTAACTAACAGCTCTGAAAACCATGCAATATTTGCAGCACACTTAAGCTTCTTGTTTCCCATCTTCGAGTCGTTGTATTAGGTTTGCTTTCAAACAAAATTTAAGGTCATGATCTTTATTTACAGTTAACTTGCAAATATGTAGCTCTAGTCTAAGCAAGAAAGATTTCATAGTAGAAAACTGCTAATGTTCACATTCAGTGTTTTCAAACCTGGAGAGCTGTCTTGTTTTCGATCTTGATCTCTCTTGCCTTGGGGAACCTCCATAGCTGAAAAATAACACAAAGGAAAATATTATTTGTCTTCGCCGAGCGCTTCAGCGATCAGTTCATTTTCCGAATTTATCAGTTGAAGTTCAAGTTAAACATGCCACAATACGAAAGGTAAAATCGGAGGTTTCTTTGGACACCTTTATCTCTAATAAGCTTCATTCCCTGATAATTTGTCCCTTACATGACAATCTTATGTTCAAATTAAAGAATTTAGCTGCGGCACAGTTTGAATAACCGTAAATATAAAAAGGGAAAATTCCCAGCTGAAAGCGACCGGGGGCAGAGGGAATGTCCCTTCATTAAGTGAAAATGGAAATGATTTGAATCAGTATTCCAGAGACAGAAAGAGGGATTCTCTATCGATTGCAGTGATTTGGTAGTTTTACTCAGTGTTCTTTGATTATGTCTATCGCTGCCAGTTACCTATTACAATTATAGTGACCATGGTGAAATATTTTTAAAACCGAGTTAATTTGTATACTCTTCAATGCGAGTCAATGTGACTGCACAGACGGTCAAATCAAATTACGAACGTCTACACAACGTGGAACACACTTACATGCGTTAGACATGATTAGCAGCCGACAAGAGAGACAAAAGCGGTAGATTTGCGAAGACAAGCAACCTACGGAATTGTTACAACCGCTTGATCAACATAACAACACCTCTCTTCCTTGAGTTCATGACACGCTTGGTTTGTTCTGAAAATGGTTTACATGCCAGCATAGCGAGCTCCCGAGCCGATTTTTTCACAAGTAAGTCTCTTTCCAAAGATTTTTACAATAGTCTAAGCGCTCAGAAGTTTCTCATCGAGATTTCTGACAAAACGAAAGGTATTGACCTCGCGCTCGAAGGTTTATCGAACTGATCCTGAACCCTTACATTATCTTCAGACTCGACTAACTTGATCTTGCTTCGCTTTTGGTTTACACTAGAATAACATACGACTGTACACACGATGATAGTTACACTGAAGCAGGTTGTTCGGGGGCATCTCCGCAATTGAGGCTACTGCAAACGACGACTGTCATCAAAACATCTTCTAAACCGCTGCACTTAGTCTTACCTGGAACACAGAGGCAAGGATTCAACCAATCTGTTACTCGAAACTCTGGAAAAATTCACCCACAACTCGAGTTCCTTTCTTTCGGCTGATGCGCAAAACTAGATGATTTGTAGATAACTGTAGAGCACTTTTACAAACCAGAAATTCGAAAAGACGAGAGGTGGAAGACGAATGACCTTTGATTACTCGCATTCCTTGGTTCCTAGAATTTTAGTATGAAATCGTGACATTCTCTTAAGTTAAATAATCATATGACATCACAACGGATATCAGGTTTCCTAACTGTTGACGCGCCACTTGTTGAGGTCTTTGCCGTACTCTTCGGTTACATTCCTCTGACTCATATTTATTCAGTGGGTAAGTTTATCTTGGTAAGATCGTTGTCATTTTCATGATTTTCCGAATAGAAGATAAATCAAACCGACAAATTTTCCCAAAATAGGAAACCTGTTTAAAATTCTAAGTCAGTAGATTAGAGACAAGCCAAGGACCGGGCGAGTTAAAGTCAGTGGTCACTATTTCCTGATCCACGGCAACTCTTTCGCTAATTTCCATTATCCGAGAGCGTGACAAAAATTAAGGCTGACATCAACCCCGCTTCCCTCCCCACCCATTAAAAATAAATGGAGCATTTTGGGCGATCTCGCCCCTTTCTTCTTTAAAGTTCCACACTGAATGCGTGACTGAGCCCATGGGCAGCAGAAGCTCGCACAGTGAGCCTCCATAACTATGCAAATATGCTTATTTTGTTCAACGGCCGAAATATGAAGATTTGTCCGAGCATGAACTGTTGTATACTTAACCTAGAAATTTGAAATGCTTTTGAATAAATGACAAGCTTTACTTGCCTTCATGTTGTTTGTTTGTTTGAATTTTGTGAGCTTTTTCAGGCTGATTTGCAGCCGTATAACAAGTCTTTAGTTCCCTCTCTTGCTCCTCTCAACAGCGAGTTAATCTGCTTCATAGCTGCCTTGAAAATCCGAAAAAAGAGGAGTCTTCACTTTGTTTTTCATCAAAACGGAATCAGACTTTTGAGTTGAGAATACGACCATTCCTTCCGATGCAAATACTTTAAGTTCCATAACACAAACACATCGTAAACTGCCGATCATAAGCTTTTCGTAGGGGTCTTAGGAGGGTTATAACCGAAATAGAAAAAAAGCTGTAGCAGTGCTGATCAAGATACGTTTTGCATTTACTCGTTGTGTTTTTAATTAAACCTTTAGCTCCCAGAAGTGATTCACATGTAACTTCTCCCCACAATATCCAACCACTATCCAGCAAAGAGTTAATGAGAATACTCAAATGTATCAGGTAGGAGTTGTTATCTTGATCTAACACCAAATTCTTCTACTAATTTATAAGGTAATGTGTAGCAGCCAGATCCCGGGAGTTAAAGGGTTAAGCTTCAAAACGTCATAATAAATTAAGTTAATTTCAATAAATTTGGAATAGAATTAAAACTAGCAACACGAATAAACATGGTATATAACAAAACTGAAGTTCAGACTTTTCTCTTGAAGTTCATCTTTGCTCTTCTATCATTAATAACATTTCCATGTCCAAGTAACAGCACTGGGGCTTTTTTTACTTTGGTATTACAAGAAAAAAGAAAAGCAAGAGGGGAGCTTATATCCGGGGAAGGGGGAGGGGGGCGTGGGCTGGGCTATAATTGGATGGTTTTATTCGTTTGTCTAAAGGTAGATGGGCTTAAGGGGCTAAGGGGCTAATGGGCTTATAAATTCTGGGAAGGGGGGGCTCTTATAAGCAGCAGTTTACAGTATTTATATATCTAATAACAGTCTTGGTATACTTGGCTTGGGCTTCCTGTGTTGTGCTTGGGGGTAAGTGGGGTTTTGTACTCCTTTCTGTTACAAGAACCAACTGAACTGAAATGCGCAATGGGTATTTTTAATTAATAATATGCTCTTTCCAAAAGCTCAGCACATAATAAGAAACAAATCATTATCACCGTCGCACAATGGAACTTCCTCTTTGACATCTCAGCAACAGCAGATTGAGACACTGACACAGAAATACTAAAACGTGTTCATGGGTTCACCTTCCCAACACATTGGCTTCTATTTCAGTTTTAAAATAAAATCTCACTTTTTGAAAAGCTGGAAATGTACACAGGAAATGACATTACCATATCTGGGGCAACTAAAACTGGCATTTTAGAATAAGCTTTATACCCAGTATGAGTAATTCTCACATATTTCACATATTTAGCCATAATTTGCTTTTAATTCACGAATTCTACAATGATGTTAGCTTTTCCATTAGTACCTGAAGGTACAAAACAAATGTGAAAATCATAGCATTCAAAATGAGCACAGGGACTTCCAACACTTCCTTTTTAAGTTTCCACAAGCCTAAATGTCTCATGTCAACGTTTCTTATCATTTCTTTCCTTGTTGCATCTTCTGTTTCTGAACTTTGCTACAATAGGTGCAGTTGTTCTCTCTTTTCAAGTCTCTGCTCTTTAATTTTCTTTGCCTGCAACAGAAACACACCATCAAACAAGAGGAAAACTTTAGACAGATAAAATTGAACTAGTACATGATATATTTTTTTTATTGATAAGAATCCCTATTTTATTAGATTGATGAGTAAATTCTCCTTGTCAGAACACAGAGAAAAGTATGGAAAATATGCATATAAAATGATGTTGGTGTGTATAGGGTTAAAAACACACAATAGGGAATGGATCTGTATATATTAAGAAATTTCTATAAGATCACTGTGCTTTTACAATTTCCTTGGCTGACATTGTGCTTTCACAGGAACTGGCACATGTGAGCAATGGGGAGCAGATGGGAAATGTATGTAACAGCATCACAGTTACATAAGCATCATCTCCCAAATATGATGAATTTCATTTCTTCTTTTCTATTGCTCAATTCTACAAATCTAATTTAATCACACAATCATGTATTTGCAAGGGAAATCCCATGAGGTCAAGTAGATCTCTTAATTCAAAGGTATCAGTGATGTTTAGAAAGCTTTGGTAAATTATTTAGCCATTGGAATGCTTTTTGGACAACTTTTATATCAAATTATGAGTAACCATACATTAAGAAATGTAAGAGCTGTTTAATATGTTTTTATGTATGATATGGTCTAAAAAAACCTCATACAAATACTGCTCTTTGTACATTCCTGGTGCACATTTTTAAAAATATTTTGAAGCAATCGGAAAATGCCTTAAGATAATTATATTGTTTGATGTGATCTTTCATTGGAATGCAGAGGGTGATGGACACATCAAATTTTAATGTTTTCTTTTAACTACTAGAATGTTTAGTGTTGTTTAGTTAATTCTTTAAAAGCTCTAATTTCAAGCCAGTGTGTAGTATGGAAATCCTGTATTGCACTCTATAAGTAATCTTTCAATTCATTCACAATAGACTCATCACAAATTAAACATTTTGTTTCAGTACATAATGATTATTAGATTATTTTAAGTAAGTAGCATTTGAATTTAAGTAGAAAACGCACAGTAGTCCTATGTCTAAGTGTCTTGCTGTAGTCTATTATTTATTTTGAGTTCCTAATTTTTGCTGATGACTGTTAATTAAGATCAGGGGGAAAATAATAAAAAATGTCACCAACAATTTGATAATGAAAAGTTAAACCCCATCCCTCTCTCACTGTAAGACAGTACCCACTGATAAAAAAAAAAGAACCAGTGATTAATTCTTACTTAAGCTTACTAAATTGAAAGTGTAAGAGTTAGTTTGAGAGTACATGTGTAAGTATGTATGCATGTTTAAGTATGCAAATTATTTTGCAATTGTTTAAAATCATGATGTTATACCTCCCAACTCGAAGCCATTTTTTATTTGACCCTAATCGGCCCTTTGGCTTCAGTTCAAGGAACATTTAAGAGTCTTAGAAAAAGAAAACTCACTGTATCCCTTGAGGCCAGTCATTAACTGCTTATGTTTAACTAAGTTTGAACCGAAACAAACTCTGGACAAGTATGGTAAAGAATGTGTTGCATGAAAAAGCCAAGGCTTTCTTTTTTTATCACCCCACTCCCTGAAAGGACACTTTTGTGCCCCCCTTTGACTATGTTGTCATGATAACTGAGGTGTGTGGTTTAATATATAACATGATATCCAAGCTAATTAATCGCAAAAAGAATAGAGAGCCTAATCAGTCTCCCAGAAAACTTACTACTTGTCCTATACAGGCTTGTTAATAAGTGCTTGAAACTCCTTATCACAGGCATGCTTAATAATGTTATCTTTCTAGGACACACAGCTCCAATAAAGAAGGGCCTGAAAAAAAAAATTTATGGCCATCAAGAAAATAAGAAATCTAAAACAACTTGATGACAACTTTTTAGTTGAGCATTAAAACAATCTCAGGCATATTCTCGGCAATACTTAAAACAAACTGTGTAAGGTTTTCAGTTGAGTAAGTCAACGCTCAGATTTTGGAAGTAAAAGGGTCAAGATTTCAGGTAGTTGGTTAAGAGGAGACAATTTGGGACAGATTTGAACACTGCAATGATCTGAATCTGCCACACCATAAACAGTAAGCTATTCATAACAATTTTTCCCACATGTTGAAAAATATTTGAAGGATATTAAACATGATAGCCTCCATTTGGTGCAAAAAGAGGAGAACTGTAATATAATATATCTCAGGCATAGGCATTCTTTTCTCCAACAAAAGGCATAGGTTGTCAAAGGTTACCAATTCGGTTGTCATCCATTATATATAATGAACAAAAAAAATTAGAACTGTGGGTAACCAAAATTAGAAATCACTTCAGGACATATTTATTGGGCAATATCTTATCATCAGTGTACATCAAGAAGCAATTATGCAGGTGAAGGGGAAAATTATGGGAACTGCAAGATGTCGGAGACTTACTAAGCAAATGTTGAAGAGCTGAAGAAAACAACTGCATCACTGGTTCAAAAAAAGATAAATGAAAGAGAAAAAATGCAAATTTTGTGGCTAGTGGGAATCACAGTGCCTAAGTTGCTCATGATGGCCAAAACTACTTGTAATGGTCCAAACAAAAACACACTCTTTAATATCCTTCCAAACAAAACAAAAAAGTGAAGAATCAAAGCAAGGTGAACAATCAAAGTGGTTGCAAAAATAAAATAACAAATAATGAGTTACTTCAGAAATAGACAAACAAGAAAACAAAATAAAGGAGAACAATTAAGACACTAACAAATGTTGTACGAGATCCAGTTAAAGACAATAGAGAATGATTTAAAACAATTGAGAAAAATGATCCAGCAAAGTTAAACATAAATCAGAACAAATACAATTTACAGTAAAGAACCTATACAAATGATACAAACATAAGTAAATTGAGCAAAAAAAAAGTAACAGAAAAGTGAAGAAAATAACAGACTTGAAAACAAAACAACTTCATAAAAATGCAATGGAAAGAAAAAGTATGCAATATTTTAAAATAAATTATGTCAATGTGATTTTTGGCAGCAACAGCACTTTTCATATAATTTTTTAAGCTTCCTTCTTTTCTTTAATCCTTTAAACCCTAAGAGTGATTAGCATCTAATTTCTCCCTACAATATCCCTGAATCTTACATCAAGGTCATGAGAGTAAAGGGAATGATCACTGACAAAAGAATCTTTTGATCAGTAAACAAATTCTCCTTGTCAGCACCTTAGGAATTGTATAAAGAACAGTAAGGAGAATATGCATACTGATGTTAGGGTGTAAAGGGTTAAGTAAGTCATATTAGGGGCAAAAATTGTAATCTTTGCCAAATTTGAAACTCAGAAGAAGACACTTCTTGAATATTTAAGTTATTCTCTGTAATCCTGAAGTGCAGCCACAACAAATCTTCACCACCGCTAGTCTCTGGTCGTACTTTTATCACACCTTAATCACACTGTGATCATTTGATAAGCAATAATCCAAAAGAAATATGACTTTCACTAAACAATTTTTTTGTTTTATTTCAGTGGTGAACCAAAGAATCCATTCTACACTTAATTAATTTAATCATAAGTTGCAATGTGCTGGAAGGTAAATCGAAACAAAACAAAGCAAAGCAAGGCAAAAAAAAAAAAATAAAGAAAAATCCGACCATAATTCTCTCCGAAAGAATTCATTTAAGCAGCAACTTCATGTAATCGCATTATGTAAGTTTAATTTAAAATAAACAAACCAAATCTCACGTGACTTCGATGTAATTTTTTTTATCTAGGTTACAAATAACTTTCCTATTAGGTAATTTGTCACGGGTAAGATTAACACGAGCAATGCTCAGAAAAAGAAATGTGGGTATAAACTGGAACAGTCCCTGGCTATAAACCATAGTAGCTACATGTATCAGCATTTCGTAACGAAGTCTTGAACAATCTTGAACTCACTTCAGTTTGTTAAAACGTTCTTACTTACGTTCACTACACGTACAACTCAGACGTAGTGAACACAAGGTGTCGATTTGTCTCACCTCTGTTTTTCATTCCACAGGAGGCTTCACCAAGCCCGAGATTCTTTTGTAATCTTTTCCGTTTGAGCTCATTTTTTCAGATAAATTTTCAGTTTGCTTTCTCCGCCAACATAATTTTTTTTGGTTTACTTTTTAAAGCAGCGGGAGTTACTACATCACGGGCGACGAGCGGGGATAGAAAAAACAACCCAAATATGAGCGGTCAGAGGTGAAACAACTTTTATACTTCATATAGAGACATATAATTTGTTGTTCCAGAGACAATCGTGTTGTAAAGCCGAAATGTTAACAGTTTACTTCACAGTTTAAGCAATTTTTCAAAAGTGTTGATTGAACTCATATCTTTTACTGCTTTAATAAACAATGGAGGCTTCGGAGAGGGAGTCAGTGGCATTTGGAAAGGCACCAAGAATAATTATATATATGGTTTGTAGCTAGCTGCGTGACGTGCGTGACGAAAAAAAAGTATCATGATTTCCGGTTGTCAAAAATGTCAATCAAATTTGGCAGGAACTTGCCATGGATGAAGACCAAAAGCCAAAAATGTTAAGAGATTTAGAGATCGACTTTTTGAAAGAACATCTCAATCGCTTCTCTGTTGAAGGAAATTATTGTTTTGGATATTTCGAGGGAAACAGAGCAGAGATGGATGATCTGTTAGTTTCATTTCAGGCATTGAACTCCACGTGTTATGTACTTACAGAAAGCCATTCAAAAGAGAAAAACCACAACAGATTTTCTCAAACAGGTATATAATCTCTCAGTGTTTTAAAGTGCACAGATCCCGGTTTCCTATCCTGACTCCTAATTCAGGGATAATTTAATTGACAAGAATCGCCGTCTTTCAGAGTTTATGGTAAATTTCTTCAAAGGCAGTCTTACGCGATTTGCGAGAAGCTGCGTCTGAACTACCTATTTATATTTCATTGATTGAAAAGGTCATAGACAGGCCTACACAGACTCCCCTGTGTGGTTTTACGTTTGCGACGCAAAAGCCTTTAATTAAAGCTTCGCTCTGACGAGTATGTCTTTGAGCGATTTACCTCTTTTGTATGATATAATCGGAGGCGTTTTGTAAATTGTTTTCAGCAGTGGCTGATTTTGGATGAGGTTCCATTCTTGCATCAGTATTTGTTTTAAATTTTTAACCCCTGGGTGGTATGCTGTCATAAAAGGCAATATTTTGCCTGTAGTTTTTTTGGTTTGTTTTTTCGTTTGTTTGTATTGAAGCGACTTAGGGCAAGTCTTTTGTTGTAAGTGTCTCTCCAGTTTTAAAATGGAGGTTTCAGTTTTTTGCTGCTTGAACTGGATAGCGCTGATGGTGTCTTCATGTTTCCTCTTCCTTGGCTGCCGCGTGGATCGGCTATTCCTCGGAAGGTTTTCTTTTTGATGGCTTCTCTTCATACAACTTTCCTCCATGAAATGCTTTCCTTTTTCATTTTTTCAAAGGTTATCGAAGCAGTTCTGTGGCGCCTGACCTTAATCCACAGAGATATTTTTGTAGCAGACACAACTATGGCTGAAATGGTAAAGCGACATTCCAGCACTCGCTTGCTTTGGTCAGGAGAGAACTTTACCCAGATTTCTAAAATATTTATACCCATGAACAAGTCTGGAAATCACTGGACACTTCTGGTTAGGACCTTACGATAATAATCTTTTTGAATAACGCACTTTAATCAAGAACCTTTTAACTGGACTTTGCATTATAAATAAATCTTTAAGCGCTCTCTTGCTTATGTTTTAAAGGTTCTGGATCGAAAGCAGAAAACCAGATGTTATTTCGATCCCATGAATGGGCGTGTACACACCATTTTGAGCACCTCAGTTCCTAAGAGCAAACTGATAGAACTGATCGATGACATCAGGTGAAATATTTTCAACTCAATGTTTTCCTTTTTATTTTGATGCATGCAGACAAAACATACTTATGTAATTGCTGTATTTTGTTTGACTCTGCAGTGCCGTTGCTGATCTCAAAACGGGATGGAATTGCAAGTCATGGCTATGTGTTGAACCACTACATTACACACAGACCGATAGCTATAACTGTGGTGTGATTGTATGTCTTGTGAGTAGCATAATCACTTGCTAAAGCTCACTTTAATAGGACTGCTTCCTGGTTTCGAATGTATTAAATTTCTCTTTGATTGTTTTAAGTTTGCTCGGTGTTTGTGTGAGGGGTTGGATATCAATGGAAGTTACGATGTGGACATGGAAAGGGAAAGAATAACGTCTGTCATATTTGGCTCGTGTTATGATGACCTTGATTGGTAAGTTTTGATGGTGTCAAATACCATTGTTTCTTAAACGCCGCAACGCTCTCTTTGACGTCCCATATCTACCACGGTCTGTAAGATTTGCAAAGACGACGATGGAGAGGATTGGCTTGGGTGCGATAGCTGCGGCCAGTTTTTCCATGCAAGTTGTCTGGATGTGCCTTTCGCGGAGACGCTTACGCAACATTTCACCTGCCCTTAGGGTGGCTTCTTGTCAGCACAAGTAGAGTTTAAATTTTAAAGCTGACTATAACAACGAACCAGATGATGAACTTAATGTCATGTACATGAAATACAGTCCTTGGTAGTCAATTAAGATAGATTTTCACGAGCGTCAATGGTGCAGAATCGTAACTTGATGGAGCCAAAAGTGGACAACATCCCAGAATTCAAACTTTGTGATTTTTTTCTCGGCTTAAACGCTAAGTCAGTTGTTCAATTGAATAGGAAGAAAAACATTTCGAACGGAAAACAGCATTATTTACACGTGTGGATCTTTTGAGAAAAGGTCTCCTAAACGAGTGGTCTTGATTGTAAATATTTAAGGAATGGTAAATACATTAGCCTTAACATGGCCGTTTCTCGAAGCTCAGTGTTTTCCTACTTGCCTTTTTTCCACGTGAATTGGGGGCGATTGAATAGATATAATATGCAGTAAAAGAACTTCAGCTGATAGAAATTTTAAATTTCTCATCTTAGGCTGTGGATACAAAATTCAAGGGAAAAGGAAGCCAACTGTGATTCAATGCTTTGAACAAGTCAAGATACGTTTTTTTCGTCACACAACAAGTTACATAACGTGAATATCATTCTTCTTGATGCCTTTCCCGGTGTCACCAATGCCTTTCCCGATGCCTCCGTTGGTTAATAGAGCATTAAAAGTATTGTTCCAGTTAAAGCTTGAGGAAAATTGCTTAACTTTTTAAGTAGCGAAGTGTAACTTGGTAACATTTCGGCTTTACAACACGATTGTTTTCTGCAACTACAAAACGTACATTTAATTCTTCTTGGTACCTTTCGGATGTCACCGATGCCTTCATTGTTTATTAAAGCAGTAAAAGATATATATGTACAATCAACACTTTTGAATTGCTTAACATTTTATTTAGCGAAGTAAACTGTTTACACTTCGGCTTTACAACACGATTGTTTCCTGATACTACAAATGATCTGTCTATATATGAAGTATGAAAGTTGTTTCACCGCTGACCACTCGTATTTGGGTCGTTTTTTCTATCCCCGCTCGTCGCCCGTGATGTAGTAACTCCCTAAAGCAGCTTAAATAGGCTCAACTACGTAACCAAGCCTTCTGAAGACGTGTTAACAATTCTTCACTCACCTCCCCCGACTGGTTGAAGTGTGATTGGAGGGGGACAGGGAGGAGAACATTTCTGTTACTTGCGCGGGAAAAAACAAATCGGAAGGAATCTATTAACTTTTGCTTTTGTAATTTTCGCGGGGAAGAATACTACCTTATCTAGCTGCGCTCCATTCGTATACGAATCTTCTGCCTTTGGTTAAAATACGATTTCTTCGTTAATTCTAAACACTACTCACGGTCAAATGGGTTGTGTCCTCGTGTACCGGTACACAAAGGAACGAAACATTAACGAACTGCGTCACAACCATGTATGGATATGAAACAATAGGAATTCCCCCGTGTACCGGTACACCAGGACAGCCCCGTCAAATGGAACCAAAGGGAATTTCAGACCTAGGAAATACTTGTTTTCTTAATAGCGGAGCTCGCAGAGCGTAGACCCATAATTATATAAAATAGCAGTAACCCATCAAGCCGAAAAGATTTGGATGTACGACCGTTCGACCGTACGACCGTACGATCGTACAAGGTGCTACTTTTAACATGCGTGGTCAAATGTGCCGCGGGCACGCCTACGCCACGGCTTCGTTCAGTAGTCCAGTGGTCAGTACACTGGGCTCCGAGTCGGACGACCCGGGTTCTAGTCCTGGTCGGGGCAAGGCGTTGTGCCCTTGAGGCGTGCGGGAAAAAAAATGCGAGCTCCGCTTTTAGGCTTGGCTAAATCTATATATTAGTGTCTTACAAGCTCTGCTCTCGGTGACATGTTTTACCGAAGGACTCGCTGAACTGCAGCACAATCGCAAGAAGTGCACCTCATCGAGAACAGGTCTTGAAAATGTATTCAATGTTATCTTAGCACGTCAAAATAGCGGTAACATTGACATTGGTCTGGAAGACATAAAATCCCAGCAGGCAAACAACATTAACCTTTCGTTGAACCACGTAACTGAACCAAGCGCTTTTTTTGATTATCCACAAAACTCGTCATAAGTGTGGTAATCCGCTTATTTATCCTTGACATTAAGTTTATTCTGACTTTATAAAACAATTAGCATCAATCATATTAAAATACGTATTTAACAACTTGGTAGTCATGTTAGAACGTCATAAGATGCTGTACCTTTAAAGAAGCTACGAGTAAAATCTATAAGGCCTTTTAACTGTTTATGGTGGTAAATTTATATTATCCCTGGAAACTTTGCACAACTTAGTTATTTGCTTGATTGTTTGTGTTTTTTTTTTTTTTGACGCTGTTGTGTTGCGCATCCATCACCCAGCCTCACCTTCTAAAAATAAGAATAGTTTCTGGACCATACTGACTTTAAATTTAACACCATTAAAAGGCCCCTTGGTCTGTAGTTGTAAGTCATAGTGTGAAATTCAGTACTTTAACTATATCCAATAGACCTTACTGCAGTTTTCAACTCCACCCTGATTGGTTGGTGGGCAAATAATTTTTGTGAAAATTCAGTTATGATTAAATATCAGTAATATTGTAAACTTAAGCAACAGTTGTACACGTTATAGGAAAAGGATTCTTCTGTAAAAATTTTTCTTCTTGCGGACAAAAATTTTTGAAAAAAATAACATACAATGTATGGAAAATCTGTTACAAACAAGAAGGCAAATTCAATGACAGGTACAGCCATAGCCACTATTAAGCAAGCATCCCTATCACTCTCAAAATGCATTATCAGTTGCCCCAGATGTCCAGGCAGTCGAGGGAGCAATTTGAACATTAATACAGTTCAAATTGTGTATTCAGATTAATTGTTGCATGCTAAGTGCATTATTTCATGACAACGTACTTTAGCAAGTTATGCATATATATATTTAATATCATCAAAGCAAATGATTTCTGGCGTTATCGCTAATTGAGATATCAGATCAAGAAAGTATAAGCTTTTTAACGGAGTTAAATTTTGGCTGAAGGCTTTTCGAGTTATTAATTTGACTATTTATTGTACGTTATAAAACTACAAAGCAAAACACTAAATTTGGGTAGTAAAACACTAAAATACTTACTTACCTTTCGGTCCCAAAATGTTTTTCACTTCACTGCTTTAAAAATTTTAGCTTGTGTTGACTACACTCCGATGTTTCTTGTCTTTTCTTTTTCACACTGGCAGTGTGACGACATAAACTAGTGGCAAAAAATTGCTAATTTTGGCCGTTTTACGGCTAAAGGTTGACCCAGTTGAGCTGACTCTTACATAACAAGTTCAGTGCCGAAATTAGGAGATCCTCGGTATCGGTATCGCAGAGGTCATGGGTTCAAATCCCGTACGGGCCTGAATTTTTTTCAGGTCCTATTTACAACTACTCGTTTCAGTAGTGTTCTTAGCTGCGAGGATCTCCTAATTTCATCTCTCCACCGCAGTGCAAATATGTGAATTTTCATATATCTAAAAAGTTCAGTGCCATTTTCATACAGAAAAGGCAAACAAGTATGCGATTATTTGTGCAAGCAGAATAACCTTCATTGGACTTTCACTGATGACTCACTTGATAAACTCGTATGCAAATTAATAGTGTCGATTTACCAGTTAAAGCCTATCACACACGGTGCAACGTTTAATTTTTCCATTCGTATTTCACAAAAATACCCCCAGCACCTACAAAAGGGCAGTGCAGAATATATCATCTCCTCTCAACACGTTCGTTACGCTTCTTACTCCATCTTCTACGGTCTCTTTTTATTTTTTTACCGTGATTTACACTGATTAAAGAATTTATTTTTTGCAGATTGCCGTTTTCTGTGTGTATCGTATTACCTGTGAGTGTTTGTATGTTTCATTAGTTGCGTTGTGTACTTGAAGTTGATTTTTACATCATTTTGTATTGTTACTTAATTTATGTCCAGTAATACGTATTTATTTGTATAAATTTAGTCCTGTGGATCAATATTTGTGTCCCCTCTTTAGAACCAGCCTCGTCGTTTTTAAATCCTTCTAGAAAAAATTTCATTATTTTTAGTTTATTCATAAGTTTTTGTTCTCTTTGTTGTATTTTTCCGACTCAAGTCTCGTAGAACAAACCAAAGGCTTTGGACATTCCTCAGCGCATTCATTTTTTTTTCCTTCTGTATTCAGTTTTTATATTTAATTAGGTAGGTACACCACCTGGGGTATTTTGTTAGAGCGTTCTCTTCAACTTTTAAGTGCGTTTAAACTTTTCAAATATCATCTGTTGTCTATTTTGGATTGGAGACATACACGTTGCCTTTAATTCGTATCATCTTCAGTGGCATTCATCTTCCTCGTTTATTAACACTCGTTAAAAAAAAAAGAAGAAGAAGAAGGGAAATACATTTACCCAGATTTTTATATCCACCCAAGATATATCTTATGAAATGTGGTATACTTATGAGAGCGTGGTACAGTGTTAAAGTAAACAATCCAGATAATACTCTAAGATTTTCCCAATAAAAATAATATATTCCTTGTCTCTTGTTTCTCTAAATTTTTCATTCCTTTATATTTGGCATATAGTTTTCATCTCACGCAATTAAGTTTTTGTTCTTAGGAGCTTTAGAAAGAGGCGCAGTCTTGTGATTTTTAAAGTCGTCGGCTTGTTGGACGTCGAGTTTTTATTACACAAGAGTAGGCTCCGCGATATAGCTAATTAGCCATTTAAAATGGTGGGATAATAGGAAAGTGGGAATTGGCTCATATTTG